GATATCCATTTTGTTGAAATATATTTCTAGCCTATTAATTAGTGGCACATCTTCAAAATGTTCATCAAGCCGATGGAGTAAAAAATTTACATAATAATCTGCATTGCCTTCAATAAATTCGGGACCGATAATGTGATCCCCTACTATTCCTAGTCACACATTTATAGCCCATCTGCCTTGAATGTTTACTTCCTTCGTACAATGTGGATTATGCTGCGCACAATGATGCTCATTATGTCTGTTTATGCATCCGTCACTTTTAAAAATTGCCTCGTCACTTCAGAAAATATTTTTTCAAAAATATATCGTTTCCGACATCATTGAAATTCATCTACGTAAATCGAGTATAGAGTATTAGCATAAAGTTGACGACTAATATCAATCGACAACAAAACGTCTGATATGCTGCACAAAAAAAATAGAAAATAAATTTTTAAATATAACTATACTAAAATAAATATACTTTTAAATATAACTATACTAATATAAATATACTTACGTGTTCAATAACCCATTCACAAAAATTTATTCGTCGTAGCATATCACGAGGTACGAGCTCGTGTGTTGTATGCCGTTTAAATGGATGCCAACCCAAGGAATATTTAATAATTTTATGAACAGTAACCTGATTCATGTTCAAATGCGGTAACTGCTCTTGTGCTTATATGAGGATTTGTTATAACAACCTCTTGAACAGCATCAATTATTTCTTGTGGAACATGAATGGGCCTGGTGGATTTATAAAATTGTCCATTTCTTTTTAATCTTTCACACAAGCGGTTGAAAGAAACTATGGTCCACACGTCGTCTGTCCGGAAATCTTTGAGCGTAAAGTGCAGCCGTTTGCTTTTGATTTTTTTCGACACTCGCCATAAATAAGGATCATGGCCGTTAATTCTTTGTATGAATAATTATTTCCTTCCATCGTAATCTCTTACGTATGATTTTTTCTGCCAACAAAATTGTTTGAGTATCCAGGTGCATTTCTGTTTTTATAGTTTCTTGATCATCTCTTGTTTGTTGATTTGAACATGACCCATGTTACCATTCAAAAAATTATTAAACATTCCTTGGGGGCGGGGAAAGGTTGGCATCCTTTTAAATAGCATACAATAAAAGCTCATATTTGGTGATAAGCCACGACGTTTAAATTTTTTTGAATTGCTTATTGAACATGTAAGTTTATTTAAAAACTTTATTTTTTATTCTCTTATTGCAACATACCAAACATTGTTATTATTTACCAACTTATTAATTATGTCGTCAACTATATACTAACTTACTCAATTTATGTAAATGAATTTCAATAATGCCGGACGATATATTTTTGAAAAATATTCTCCGGGGAAATATTCTACGAAGCAATTTTTGGAAGTGTTGGATGCATAGATATAATAAGTATATATTTTTTATTATCCTCTTAAAAAATAAAATGTATCAAATTTTACAGGAAAATGATGTGGAAATTCTTAAAAATAGATTTCGTAACGCGTGTGCAGGAATCACTTCATTCATGATAAAACGAGTGAGAGACATTTTCATGGACGGGATTGCTCGTTGTTTAGGAAAAATAGTGATTACGTTACAATTTTTATAATTTATTATATTTAAAAATAAGAAATAGTATTCATTATAAGTATTATTATATTTTTATTATATTTTGTTCAAATTTACATATTAAACTATTTATGTTATTTTATCTAAATTATTAAATAAATATTTTATTTATGTATATTATTTAAATTGAACAACTGTTCCTACAGAGTGATAAAAGCCGATTTCCCTTTTCTTATTCTTCTTCGACCTTGTATTCTGATCTTATTTTGCGAGCCCAATAAAGCATGCCCCTGGTGGGCAGATAGGCAATCCGACTGATGTGTATTGTTGGAAACATCCTGTATACAGGATATCACAGACCAAAAATATTTCAGACAAAGTTATAAAGTTGCAAGGGAGCCATAAGATGGTTGTCATTAGTTTGACCTTGGAGCCGTTTGAAAGTCACCTTTCATTTTTTAAACGGAACCTCCTGCTTTTTATTATTCTTGCTATTTATTTATTCTTGTAGCTTATCTCGAGAACTTCGAAAACACTAAAATAAATATTTCTTCATTTTACATCATCCAACATCCACTCAAAGGTGTGAGCCGAATAGCTCAGTGGTAAGAGCAGTTGTCGGCAAGTGAATGACTCCGGTTCATTTTCTCGATTCAGCGACTTCGCCTCGATATTTGTCTCGTCTATATCTGTTTAGCGAGTAAAGAAGGGTCTATAGAATTCTCAAAATTTGAGAATCTATATCTTGGTAAATGCACCAAGTAATATATATGCATATGCCTTGTGAACGTTTTAAATTTTTGCGAATAATTATTCTTTAAGAAAAAATTTACGCACTATCATCCGAGTAGATGTAGTAGGCCGGTTCTAACCCAGGTCCTCTGAGGAAGGTGAGGTGCGAGGGGATCTCAGCGGAGCGGGGTATGACGTCACGCGGGGGTGGGGGGGTCACGTTAATGACAAGCATAAACAAAGAGCGGTATTCTTTTGAAAAGGATTTTAGGCCTAATCCTTTTTTGGGTCTAATCCTTTTTTTTATTTTATTTTATTGTATTTTATTATATTTTATTATATTTTGAAAAAGATTTGGGGACCTAATCTTTTTTATTGTTCTTTTATTTTTGTTTAGGATTTGCCCTGAATCGCGCATAAAATTATTACCCCCGGTCATACTAGCGCCATCCGTTTGCGCGCTATCGAACCCGCGTTCACGTACGCCGTTACGGTTTTTTCAAAAATCATCCAGGATCCGCGTGATCACGCGAAATAATACACGGTCCTGGCCAATAAACAGGCTTACATATCACGCGATCTGACGTAATGATCAGGGATACGTCGAGTTCCGATCATACGATCCGTGATCAAATCTTTATCTATCGGGAGAAAGGCTTTCTCCCCGAGAGTCTTCCGTTTTCATCATAGTGATCAGAGCGTCATACGGAGAGTAAAAATAGTGCAAATTCGAGAGTTCGCGATAATCTTAACGAGCAAAGTTAAGATTCGTTTCATTAGTCTCACGCGTGTGAAATCCTTCAACCGCGAGCCTCAATCATTGTAACAGTTTCGCGAAGAACATTGTGCGCGCCAGTAATCGTGTCCGCAGTGCACGTGAACAATTCAAACGCGAGTGCCGGGATCTTTCGGAGCGCCTCCACTCTCAGCCAGAGGCGGAGCCTTCGTCGTACCGCAACTCCGTTCAAGCGAACTGGGCGTCTCTCTCGCTCTCCCCGACCGGCCGATATAGCGCCGTCTCGCTCGCTCTCACGCGAACGGCCGATATAGCGCCGTCTCGCTCGCTCTCACGCGAACGGCCGATATAGCGCCGTCTCGCTCGCTCTCACGTGAACGGCCGATAGAGCGCCGTCTCGCTCACTCTCCCGCGAGCCGTGAACAGTGCGGTTTCGCGTATTCATAGATAGCCCCAAGTCAGCTATCTATCTCAAAATCAGGCGAACCGACGTGTATAGTGCGGTCTCGCTTGACCTTTAGTACGAGCGGCATAACGCCGTCTCTCTCGCATTCGTGGCGAGTCGCGTATAGTGCGGTCTCGCTCGAACTCTAGTACGAGCGGCATAACGCCGTCTCTCTCGCATTCGTGGCGAGCCGTGAACAGTGCGGTTTCGCGTATGCATAGATAGCCACAAGTCAGCTATCTATCTCACATTGGGCGAACCGACGTGTATAGTGCGGTTTCGCTCGAACTCTAGGACGAACGGCATAACGCCGTCTCTCTCACATTCCGCGGCGACTCTCGTACGAACGGCATAACGCCGTCTCTCTCGCATTCGTGGCGAGCCGTGAACAGTGCGGTTTCGCGTATGCATAGATAGCCACAAGTCAGCTATCTATCTCAACATTGGGCGAACCGACGTGTATAGTGCGGTCTCGCTCGAACTCTAGTACGAGCGGCATAACGCCGTCTCTCTCGCATTCGTGGCGAACCGACGTGTATAGTGCGGTCTCGCTCGAACTCTAGTACGAACGGCATAACGCCGTCTCTCTCGCATTCGTGGCGAACCGACGTGTATAGTGCGGTCTCGCTCGAACTCTAGTACGAGCGGCATAACGCCGTCTCTCTCGCATTCGTGGCGAACCGACGTGTATAGTGCGGTCTCGCTCGAACTCTAGTACGAGCGGCATAACGCCGTCTCTCTCGCATTTGTGTCAAGTCGTGAACAGTGCGGTTCGCGTATTCGCAGATAGCAATATTCATTCTATCTATATCGGACCAGCGGACTGACGTGTATAGTGCGGTCTCGCTCAAACGCTTATCCGAGCGGCATAACGCCGTCTCGCTCGCTCTCACGCGAACGGCCGATATAGCGCCGTCTCGCTCGCTCTCACGCGAACGGCCGATATAACGCCGTCTCACTCGCGCTCACGCGAACGGCCGATATAGCGCCGTCTCGCTCGCTCTCACGCGAACGGCTGATAGAGCGCCGTCTCGCTCGCTCTCACGCGAACGGCTGATAGAGCGCCGTCTCGCTCGCTCTCAAGCGAACGGCCGATATAGCGCCGTCTCGCTCGATCTCGCTAACAGCTGATCGATAGCTGTCTCGCTCGCTCTCACGCGATCCGCGTAGTGGTGCGCTCTCACCCTACATCGCGTCTTGAGACCAGCAAACGTGTATCATTTTGTGACTTTAACAATAAACGGACAGTAATTCGCTCACCGGTCTTACTGTAACACATTAAGTCGCAACTGCAGATCATTTCATTCCTATCAAGTATTTCTTACGCGATCACGCACTGAGAGAGCTTGCGATACCCCCGCGGGTATGTGCCGGCAAAGTTCAATCGCGCTTACCCGGTCTTACAAAATTCGCGAATCGAAAGCGCGATCCCGAACATTTTGGTCCTTCGAGCCGGATCGTAAGAGCTCGAAGTCAGCGTGATAACAATACTGTGAGTGAATTTGAAAGTTTTGACTACTGTCAGTGACAATGAGTGAATTAGTTGAAAATCAGCTTTCGACGCTACGCTTCGTAGCGAAAGCACTGGACAATTTCAAGAAAATTGGCCGGAATAATCTCACCTCCGCCAAGATACGAAACCGAATGACATCACTCAAGGAAACGTGGAATAATTGCCTGGAAGGACATCGCCTGTTGCTGCAACATTATCCGGAATCAAAACGCGATCTCATCGCTTATTTCCGAGACGAGCAACTGGATCAATACCAGGAAATCTACTTGACAGCACTGGACTACATGTCTGACTGTTTGGAGGAACTGGAACCGTGCGTGAGTCCGCTCCAATCAAGCGACCGATCTGTATCTCATATACAGTCGGAATCCGCGTTATCATTGAGACATTTACCGCCAATCCAATTACCACCGTTCTCCGGTAAAGCCGACGAGTGGGAAACTTTTCGCGATCGATTCACTGCGTTAATCATAAAGAATCCCGAATTATCCGATTTCGCGCGCATGCATTTTTTGGTCTCAAGCTTGACCGATAAAGCTCGCGATGTTGTAGCGGGTACTTCTGTTACCGCTGATAATTTTGACGTCGCTTGGAAAGCATTAACTTCTCGTTTTGAAAATAAACGTAAACTTGTTGAACTTCACATTGCTGAATTATACAATTTACCTTCGGTTAACAAAGAATGTGCCGCGGAATTGCACGCTTTACGAGATAAAGCCGATCGAGCGCTTTCAGCCTTAAAGCGGTTAAACCGAACACAAGAGGATATACTTAATGACATTTTAGTCTATTTTGTATCGCTCAAGCTTGACTCCGCCACTCGTCGCGCATGGAAACTCAAAACCGGATCGGAATCGACTCCGCCGAATTACGAAGACTTGATTACGTTTATATCATCGCGTGCGCTCGCATTAGAGGAATTAGCTCCTTCCGCTGCAAACAAAGGTCGACATACTGTTCAAGCGAACACTGCGACCTTCGCGCGTCAATCTTCCGGTCCGTGTCCAGTCTGTAAGACACCGCATTATCTTAGTAGGTGTCAACAATTTGTAATTAAGAGTCCGAATCAGAGACGCGAAATTGTCAAGAATTCAAATCTATGCTTCAATTGTCTCGGAACGAAACATTCCGTAAAAAACTGCCAAAGTAAAAATACATGTCGCATTTGTCAAAAAAGGCATCATTCTCTCTTGCATCTTGATTCGGCCTCTTCAAGCGATCTAGACGTTACACGAGCGAACACGTCTAGCACCAGCGCAACTATTGATAATCTCGAGCCATCGCAAACCGTCGCGATGTCCGCCGTATGTTCAAGTGCACCCGTGTCATCCGTATTACTGGCCACAGCGAAAGTAACAGTTCGGTCTCCCGACGGTCGCGTCTGTGAAGCTCGCGCCCTGATCGATCAAGGGTCAGAGGTCACTTTTATTTCAGCAAGATTAGCAAGAATCTTGCGTTTACCTCGGAAACGAATGTTCGCTCAAATTTCCGCAGTCGGCGGTATCAATGCGGATACATGTCGACAGTCCGCTGTCATTGAATTCGCACCTCGCGGAAAGCCTAAGCCAGTTTTCACTACGGTCGCGTATATTCTAAATGCGCTTACTAAATACGCGCCGCGATTATCTGTCTCAGTATCGGATTGGAGACATATAAGTACACTCAAGTTAGCAGACGATGATCCCACAGGATCAAGCCCTATTGACGTAATCATCGGCGCCGACATTTACAGTCAAATCATTACGAATGGAATACGGAAAGGTCCAATCGGGCAACCTATCGCCCAGCGATCTCATTTTGGATGGATTATCTCTGGACCCGCTCAGAATCAGAACGTTTCTGCTCAAACGATTAACGTCTTTCATTGCTCAATCGAGCGTGAGTTACGCCGTTTTTGGGAAATCGAAGAGATCCCACGCTATAACATTTTGTCTCCTGCCGAAGAACAATGTGAGAAACATTTTCTTACGACTCACTCACGAATTTCCGACGGGCGTTACGTGGTTCGGCTGCCGTTTAAGACGAAGTTCCCTATCGACATCGGAGAGTCTAGATCAATAGCTATACGGAGACTAACAGCATTAAAAAGGCGTCTAGATACGAATCCAGATCTCAAATCGGAATATTCAGCGTTTCTTGAAGAATACGAGCAGTTAAAACACATGAAAAGAGTGCATCCTCCAACCGCATCTCATTCACCGGCGGTTTATCTTCCGCATCATCCGGTGATCCGCACAACGAGCGCTACCACTAGACTGCGCGTCGTGTTCAACGCGTCCAGCCTCACAACAAACGGTACATCGTTAAATTCACATTTAGAGATCGGGCCTAAATTACAAACGGAAATAACGGCGATCTTATTACGATGGCGGAAACATAAGTATGTTTACATGGCGGATATTGCCAAGATGTACCGACAGATTTTGGTCGACCCTCGTGATCGTGACTATCAACGTATTGTCTGGTATAATCAGGATCAATCGGACATTCAGGATTATCAATTGTCCACTGTTACGTATGGAACCGCGTCAGCTCCGTTCCTGGCTTTACGAGTGATCAAGCAATTGATAACAGACGAAGGAGCCGCATTTCCCCTTGCAACTCCGATTCTTCAAGATGATATTTACGTTGATGACGTTCTTTTCGGAGCCAATGACATATCAGTGCTGCGTCAAGTCCGCGAACAACTCTGCTCTCTGCTGTCTCGCGGCAGATTTACTTTACGAAAATGGGCCAGCAACAACTCCGCATTACTGGCAGACATTCCGGAAGAATGTCACGGACTCGCCGGAAACAGATGGCTAACTTTCGAAGAAAATTTCAGTGTTCTAGGATTAACATGGAATCCCGCCTATGACACTTTTCAATTTCGCGTGGATCTCTCACCGACACTTCCAGATACGAAAAGGAAGATACTATCAACGATCGCTCGATTATTCGATCCATTAGGATGGGTCACCCCCGTTACGATCAACGCGAAAATCTTCATGCAACATTTGTGGAGATTAAAATTAAACTGGGACGACACCATTCCGTCACAAACACTTCAGCGCTGGGAATCAATATACTACAACCTATCGGCCTTAAATAATTTACAGATTCCTAGATGGCCATGTCAAGATGACAGTACTGCTTTATGCGAGTTACACGGATTTGCAGATGCATCTAACGCGGCATACGCCGCCGCAGTTTATATGCATACGACCTCGCAATCAGGAGAGATAAAGATCACATTATTAGCGGGCAAGTCGAAAGTCGCGCCACTCAAGATCACAAGCCTCTCTCGATTGGAATTACAAGCAGCATGCCTTCTTGCTCGGTTGATCGAGTTCACGCAATCCTCACTCCAGATGTCAAACGTCGCGTGTCATTGTTGGACGGACTCTACAGTAGTATTGGCATGGTTAAACTCACATCCGTCCAGATGGAAAACTTTCGTCTCTCATCGAGTCGCAGATATCCAATCTCGATTACCTGAAGTTCAATGGCGGTACATTCCATCCGCAGATAACCCAGCCGATTGTGCTTCGAGAGGTATTCTACATTCTGATTTCAATGCCTTTAACCTGTGGTGGCACGGTCCTCCCTGGCTCAAACTAACTCAGACCAAATGGCCAAGAGATCCCGCTCCTCCACTGGAAGAAGCGCCTGAGGAGAATCGGAAACTTATAGTACACGTAGCTCACACAGATTCTGGCTGGGATTTAGCCACAAGATACTCCACGTGGCCGAAGCTAATCCGAATTACAGCATATACTATCCGTTTCGCAACCAGATTCCGAAAGAAAGATCAAACTTCAACTGACTCAGAGGTGCAAAGCCAATCTTTGACGGCAAGTGAATTTCAGACCGAACGCAAATTTTGGATTAGATCAATCCAGGCAGACGTCTTCAGTGACGAATTGGACGCTCTCAAGAAACAACAAGCACTTCCATCAAAATCGGCGTTAGCTATGCGTACTATCCATCGATATCGAGTCTTCGGAAACGGTTCTCCGAGCGACAATTGAGATTCACGCAGCCACAATTCAAGACGTGAATACGTCAAAGCGGAAGCATGTAAATATGTAAATACACCGATGTACATATGTATATACTAATAATTTGTAATAATGTAAATATGTAAATCTGCGTTCCTGTAAATATGTACATATGTACTCATAAACCTGTAAAATCGCTCCGATGCGATATCAGTCGCTCACGGCGGGCGGCATCCGATAACTCTTTACTTTCGAAATTATAATTTCGAGGCGGGCGGTATGTTTAGGATTTGCCCTAAATCGCGCATAAAATTATTACCCCCGGTCATACTAGCGCCATCCGTTTGCGCGCTATCGAACCCGCGTTCACGTACGCCGTTACTGTTTTTCAAAAATCATCCAGGATCCGCGTGATCACGCGAAATAATACACGGTCCTGGCCAATAAACAGGCTTACATATCACGCGATCTGACGTAATGATCAGGGATACGTCGAGTTCCGATCATACGATCCGTGATCAAATCTTTATCTATCGGGAGAAAGGCTTTCTCCCCGAGAGTCTTCCGTTTTCCATCATAGTGATCGGAGCGTCATACGGAGAGTAAAAATAGTGCAAATTCGAGAGTTCGCGATAATCTTAACGAGCAAAGTTAAGATTCGTTTCATTAGTCTCACGCGTGTGAAATCCTTCAACCGCGAGCCTCAATCATTGTAACAGTTTCGCGAAGTAACATTGTGCGCGCCAGTAATCGTGTCCGCAGTGCACGTGAACAATTCAAACGCGAGTGCCGGGATCTTTCGGAGCGCCTCCACTCTCAGCCAGAGGCGGAGCCTTCGTCGTACCGCAACTCCGTTCAAGCGAACTGGGCGTCTCTCTCGCTCTCCCGCGACCGGCCGATATAGCGCCGTCTCGCTCGCTCTCACGCGAACGGCCGATATAGCGCCGTCTCGCTCGCTCTCACGCGAACGGCCGATATAGCGCCGTCTCGCTCGCTCTCACGTGAACGGCCGATAGAGCGCCGTCTCGCTCACTCTCCCGCGAGCCGTGAACAGTGCGGTTTCGCGTATTCATAGATAGCCCCAAGTCAGCTATCTATCTCAAAATCAGGCGAACCGACGTGTATAGTGCGGTCTCGCTTGACCTTTAGTACGAGCGGCATAACGCCGTTTCTCTCGCATTCGTGGCGAGTCGCGTATAGTGCGGTCTCGCTCGAACTCTAGTACGAGCGGCATAACGCCGTCTCTCTCGCATTCGTGGCGAGCCGTGAACAGTGCGGTTTCGCGTATGCATAGATAGCCACAAGTCAGCTATCTATCTCAACATTGGGCGAACCGACGTGTATAGTGCGGTTTCGCTCGAACTCTAGGACGAACGGCATAACGCCGTCTCTCTCACATTCGCGGCGAGTCGTGTATAGTGCGGTCTCGCTCGAACTCTAGTACGAACGGCATAACGCCGTCTCTCTCGCATTCGTGGCGAGCCGTGAACAGTGCGGTTTCGCGTATGCATAGATAGCCACAAGTCAGCTATCTATCTCAACATTGGGCGAACCGACGTGTATAGTGCGGTCTCGCTCGAACTCTAGTACGAGCGGCATAACGCCGTCTCTCTCGCATTCGTGGCGAACCGACGTGTATAGTGCGGTCTCGCTCGAACTCTAGTACGAACGGCATAACGCCGTCTCTCTCGCATTCGTGGCGAACCGACGTGTATAGTGCGGTCTCGCTCGAACTCTAGTACGAGCGGCATAACGCCGTCTCTCTCGCATTCGTGGCGAACCGACGTGTATAGTGCGGTCTCGCTCGAACTCTAGTACGAGCGGCATAACGCCGTCTCTCTCGCATTTGTGTCAAGTCGTGAACAGTGCGGTTCGCGTATTCGCAGATAGCAATATTCATTCTATCTATATCGGACCAGCGGACTGACGTGTATAGTGCGGTCTCGCTCAAACGCTTATCCGAGCGGCATAACGCCGTCTCGCTCACTCTCACGCGAACGGCCGATATAGCGCCGTCTCGCTCGCTCTCACGCGAACGGCCGATATAACGCCGTCTCACTCGCGCTCACGCGAACGGCCGATATAGCGCCGTCTCGCTCGCTCTCACGCGAACGGCTGATAGAGCGCCGTCTCGCTCGCTCTCACGCGAACGGCTGATAGAGCGCCGTCTCGCTCGCTCTCAAGCGAACGGCCGATATAGCGCCGTCTCGCTCGATCTCGCTAACAGCTGATCGATAGCTGTCTCGCTCGCTCTCACGCGATCCGCGTAGTGGTGCGCTCTCACCCTACATCGCGTCTTGAGACCAGCAAACGTGTATCATTTTGTGACTTTAACAATAAACGGACAGTAATTCGCTCACCGGTCTTACTGTAACACATTAAGTCGCAACTGCAGATCATTTCATTCCTATCAAGTATTTCTTACGCGATCACGCACTGAGAGAGCTTGCGATACCCCTGCCGGCAAAGTTCAATCGCGCTTACCCGGTCTTACAAAATTCGCGAATCGAAAGCGCGATCCCGAACAATTTCCAATTCAACTAGAAAATAAAACATCGTCAAATTTATCAATTCATAAGCAAGGTACAATGCACAATTTCATTTATTTTGTTATGATTATTTTTTATATATTTTAAAAATATAATATTTTTTAAAAATAATTTTTTTTAGTATTTTTTCAATTTCAAAACTTATGCTGGAATAATATAACGACGTATTTTTTTAGCTCTGCATTGCAATGGAAATGTGCTTGATGCATCCGCGGAACAATTGTTTGATGAAGTCGATGAAGTTAATGCAAACATGCCAATTCAATTGAAAAACAAGGCATCATCATCAAATTCATTGATTAATAAGCAAGGTATAATGCACATAATTTCATTTATTTTAGTTACGATTATATATACCGGGTGAGTTTTTTAACTTGAGACTGCAAAATATCTGAAAAACTAAGGCTTCTATCAAAAAATGTTTCTTACAAAAGTTGTATGGCTGTAAGGGGGCCATAAGATAGTGACAATGATTTGATCTTGGATAGTCAGTTGAAGGTTATGTGAAGGTCACCGTCAATTTCTTAAATAGAACCACCTATTTTTCATTGCATATTCTTGTAGCTTATCTCAAGAGCTTTCCAAAACCCTATAATGAAAAAATACTTTATTATAGGGTTTTGGAAAGCTCTTGAGATAAGCTACAAGAATATGCAATGAAAAATAGGTAGTTCTATTTAAGAAATTGACGGGAACCTTCACATGACCTTCAACTGACTATTTAAGGTAAAATCATTGTCACTATCTTATGGCCCCCTTGCAGCCATACAACTTTTGTAGGAAACATTTTTTGATAGAAGCCTTAGTTTTTCAGATATTTTGCAGTCTCAGGTTAAGAAACTCACCCGGTATATATATATATATATATATATATATATATATATATATATATAATATATTTTAGTGTATATGTATAATTCTTTATTTCTATTTCAATTACTTGATTATAGTTCAGAATTATATAGTATATACACACCCACACATTTATTCTTGAACTATTTTTCCTAACATTTTTCTAACACCATTTTTATATTTTTTAATATATTATATAGATTTTATATTTTATTTTTATACATCTTACATCACACATATGTATTTTACATTTTTTATATTTAATATTTTATCTGTACATATATCTTTAATAGTACATATATTGAAAAAATGTGTTTAGAGAACGTCCTGTTCTCTATTCTATACATTTTTTGAAAATACATGCTGTGTTTGAGATATAATTATAAATATAATCAAAATGTTTTGAGTATTTTTTATAGAATCTGAACCGTACGAACGATTTGTCATCCATAAACTTATAAGTTTAGAATTAAAACTAAACTCTATAGAAAGATGTCAAAAACTTATTCTAAAGAAAATTTCAATCGACACTTTTGAAGCCAAAGAAAAAGAAACAATAGATATCTATCAAGATTTACCGTTAAAAACTGAAACTGATTTACAATCAATGGAAAACAAATTAAATAATGATTCATTATATCGAAATGAAATGGTAAGTTAATTGTCTTGTGTATTTTAACGTTACAATATGAAATTATATACAAAAATAAGAAAAATCTAATAAATTCAAAAATAATATAAAACGACTAATGAGAGTCACACAATTGTTAATGGATGTTAAATAATAAAAAGAATAATTAATATTCAGGTATTTGTTTAATGATAAATGTTTTTGGGCCACTCTCAAAACAATATTTAATCTAGAAATAAAAAAATATATAAATTATTATTGAATATGAAGTCAGAACACAAGCGTTAATTTTACAATTAATTAGCATTAAAGAAAGTACACGATTATTTACATATGTTAGAAAATAGTATATAGTAAAAATCTCGGTGCATGCTGGTATAAAAGTATGTCGTTTGATAATTATATATTTTTGTTTAATTTTTAATTTAAATTATTTTTATAAAGAGAATGGTCGGAAATGGGCTGAAACATTTATCATTTAATAAATATCTGAATATTATTAAATTTTTTTTACATTTATAACTTTTGCTCTCATTAGCAATTTTATATATTATTTTTTAAATTATATCATGTCTTTTTAAAGATGTTTTAATAAGTTTCGTAGACTTTTTATTAAAATATTATATAATTTTTAGAATAATTAAATTGATATATATTTACAGTATTTTTACATGTGAATAGATAATTTTATTATATAAAAGTTTCTTATAATATCTATATATTTAATAATTCCATTCTTTGTAACAATTTTAGGTTAAACAATTAGTCCATGTTACATGCCAGGATCTGAGGACTTCTTGTATACGTCTTATGAAAATAATTTTTGCAAATGAACTGGCCGTAAATTATAGTTGGTACGGAGCAAAAAAGAAAGAAAATTTTTCCAAATTGCACATATGCAAAGTTATTATGAGTAAGTAAAATTAAAAACAATTTTTCTATTTTATTATTAGATGCTGTATAATTTCTGCACAAATCAAAAAATATATTTACAAATATTTATAACTTATTTATTTATTAAATTACTTAGAAATGTTTCAATTGTTTTATTATATATTAATAGGTTTAAACGCTCATCTGTATAGATATATTGTAGAAATCAAGTCGAAATTTTTTTTCAATTTTTATAACTTAAAAATAAAAAAAAATTAAAGAAATTTTATTTATCAATAATTCACAAACAATTTTAAAAACTTTTTCAGGTGCAGTAAGAAAATTGCACATTAATGCTACAGATGAACAGATTTCAGCTCCAATAAAAATATGGTTGGCTCATGCCAAAGAGCGTATGCAGAGACAAACATTGAATAGTGAAAAGGATTAAACTAGTACTTCGTTGAGTTTTTCTTGTCTTTTCTTGAATCTTTATAATTTATAATTTGTTTTGAGTTATTGTTGATAACGTTTATAATGATGATTATCCATCCTTTTTATTTTAAGTAGATATTCTTTTAGATTTATTCATTTTTCAAATTTAAGTAGGTTTTTTTTAGATTTATTCATTTTTCAAATTATGCACAATTTTGTTCTAATAAGTTTTCTTTTATTAATATGTATATATGTGCAATATTATAACATATTTGGAAAAAAACCAGACTCCATTATACTCATAGGCGTCGAAACACATGTCTGCGTAGAAAATACAGCTATTGACTTGAGACAAAATGGTTATGAGGTTCATACTGTTGCAGATTGTTGTTCTTCACGTATCTTCACGTACTCATACTGTTGCAGTATGAGTTGTTCTTAAGCATTTAAGAAATTTGAATAAAAAGATTTTATATGTGAACAAAATGTCAATATTTTACACCTATAATCCATTTATATATATAGTATATAAATATAAATGGATTATATATATGTACTGTAAACATTCAAAATCTGTTTTTCTGTATACTTATTATTAGTAGTCAAAATTTGCATATTTTTACTAGTAAGTATGAAAAAACGGATATGGGGTGTTTACGGTAACATATATCATTTATATTTATATATAAAATATAAGTTAATCTATAGAATATCTTGAGTATATTATTAGTACATTATAAGTACATATTATGTATATACCAATGTCATACTCAAGACATTCTATAGATATACTTATTATATACTAAAAGATATTTTCAGTATGTACTGAGAAGTAGGAAAAATCGGACATAGTAGCATTCTTAGTACATACTCAGTATATCGCAGTATGTATTTCGAATGTTCCTAGAACATACGCAATATACTTTTGTGATATTCTCAGAACATTCTCGGAATTTACATGTGCTGTGTGGGGACATACCTGTATTTGATTCCTGATATAGCATTTTCGATTCCCTCATATCGGTAAATAGTTGTACCGATTTTTCAAAATTGATGGCTTTATCGCTAATAGCCTCAACATTTCTCAAGTCAATTGATTCGTCAATTGATTCGTCATTATTTTTAAAACATCGAATATCTTGTTCGACATACATATTTGTATTTGACTTGTGACATTGCATTGTTGAGATATTTGAATCAGTCATATCGGGAAATGACTCTACCGACTTTTTTAAGTTGACGGATTCATTGCTAACATCTTCAATGCTTCTCGAGTCAATTAATTCGCTATTTTTTAAAAATCGAACATCTTGTTCGACATTATACATACCTGTATTATAGTTCGGTTCTGTTTCAAAAGCTTTTGAATTCATCGTATTGGGAAATACAACGGATTTCTCAAAATCGATAAATTCATTGCTAACAATTTGGCACATCTCCGACAACAAGTTTTTTATGTCTTGCTCTCTCTTCTGATCCACTAATAACTTTTGCCTGCAAAGAAAAATTAATAGATTAGTCTTTTGTAAAATATTTTTATAAAAATATTAAAATATTCTTGAAAATATAAAATCTCTGAAAAAGTACAGTCGTTTGTTTAAATCTTTATTCACTTGTACTATTAAAAAATAAATTACTTAGATAAATAATAATTAAAATAATTTATTATTGATAAAATAGATAATATTTTGACAATATAAATACTAATTAGTGCACATGCAAATCGCATGTAGTGTTATATTTTTTAAAGTTACCAGCACACGAATAGATCGCCTCTGGATTTTTTATAACCAGCACACGAATACATCGCCTCTGGATAAAATTTTTTCAATGACCAGAACGCACATGCACACCGTTTCTGGAATAAAAAAAGTTACCAGCACACGAATAGATCGCTTCTGGATTTGTTATAACCAGCACACGAATAGATCGCCTCTGGATTTTTTATAACCAGCACACGAATACATCGCCTCTGGATAAAATTTTTTCAATAACCAGAACGCACATGCACACCGTTTCTGGAATAAAAAAGTTACCAGCACACGAATAGACCGCCTCTGGATTTTATATAACCAGCACACGAATAGATCGCCTCTGGTACTAATTACTGCAATAGTAAAACTACAATTTATATTACTACACTACTACACTACTATTCTATACTTATATTACTACACTACTCTATATTTATATTACTACACTACTCTATATTTATATTACTACACTACTACGCTAATACTCTATAATTTTGTTATATATAAATAAAACAATTTTTTAATATAAATTATTTTCAGAGATTTTATGTTTTTAAGATAGCTGAAAAAATACAAGAAAGATTTATGCATTTCTGATTATATATTACACATCAATGTTCAATGTTGTTAATTTTATTTATTTTGATATAAATATCCTTTTTTATTAATAATCTCGTCACTCTATCATAAATGAAATGCATAAATCATTCTGTTTTCAATTAATTCAAATATATAAAATTATGTATAATGTATAAAACTTTATATTTTAATATTATTCAAAGTGTTTTATTTTAATTGCCTCAGATAAATAAAAAAAAATATGAAAAAAATAAAAAAATTTTTTCTGAGAAAAGTTATATGATTGAAGGAGAATATATGATAGTACTATTGGTTTATTTTTGGATAATTGCTTGAAGATCGCATAAAGTCATCTAATTTTTTAAATAAAACCCACTATTTTTCATTACATATTTTTATAGAATTTATATCTTTCTTTGATAACTGTGTGTTTTTTACACCAATTGATTTGTGTAATTATTCTGTGCATAAAAGTACTAGGGTAAGATTATCGGAAAATTAATTTTTTTGTGAGATATTTTGTATCTTATGTCAAAATACTGAAACTTTGAAGTCTTATAATTCGAAAAATACAATGAAAAAATATTTTATTATAGTGTGTTGAAAACTATCTAGATAAGCTACAAGAATATGCAATAAAAAGTAGCTTTCCACAAAATTTAAATACAATTTTTACAATACCTTGACAACACTTTCAAGGTCATATTAATATTGCTACGTAATGCGTTACTAACCAGACAACTTTTGTCTAAAACATTTTTCTCTCTCGGGCTTGATTTTCGAGATATTCGACTGGATGGGTAGTTTTAGTATTTTGACATAAGATACAAAATATCTCATAAAAAAATTAATTTTCCGATAATCTTACCCTAATACTTTTATGCACAGAATAATTACACAAATCAACTAGTGTAAAAAAACACACAGTTATCAAAGAAAAATATGAATTCTATAAAAATATGTCATGAAAGATAATGGGTTTTATTTAAAAAATTAAAGGTGACTTTATGCGATCTTCAATTATCGAAGGATTAAAACGGGACACCCTATATATAAAAAATATTTTATATAACAGATCTAAATGGTAGAAGCCTTATAACTAGTCTTATAACTCAAAAAATTTTTATTTCATGATCGTGTTTTCAAAAGCTCTAAAAGTGAACTATAAGACAATGCAGTGAATTGGTTGTTCCATTTTAATAAATAAAGATATGACAATTAATTAAACGAACGACCCCATTTTATAGTCCCCTTCGAACCAAATAACTTTTATTTAAAACATTTTTTTGTAAAAGGTTTTATTTTCGGAATATTTCCGAATTTGTGGAAAACTCTGTAAAATATATTACAATAAAAATTTTTTTTAATATAATAATTATAAAACAATCATATATATATATATATATATATATATATGAGGAATAAAAAAATTTAAAAACATGTAATTAATTTAAAAAACAATTTAAATTTCATTTATAATTATAATAATTTATAATAATTTTATTTAATTTATGAAATTAATTTAAAAAATTTTTGTGATTTTAACATTTTAAATAATAAATATAATAAATATAATAAATATTATATAAAATATAATAAATTATTTATATAATTAAATGTTATTATATATCAAATTTTTATAAAAAAGAACACAAAAATTAACACAAATTTTATACAGCGTGAAATATCAGAACTTTGGGTGTGTAAAGAAGATCGAATAGCTAAGAAAAAAATAATTTACAGATTTACTCATTTTTTCTTTGTGTTGTAAAAAATCACAAAAAGACTAGTATATTCAATATGTACGCGATATATTGTCACAGGTGTAATGAATTCATATGTAGATTTTTGAAGAGTAATAACTGAAATATAATTCGTAATAGAACAAGAGAGATGTAAATATAAGCAAATAAAAGTAAGCAGGATAGTTTATTTATAATTTTATAATTTTATTTTAGGAAACTTTTTTTCTTTATTATATATTTTATTTCATAATAATCTAAACAAAAAATGTTTAACAGTAATAAAATTTATCGAAAAGTATCATAGAAATAAGTATCATAGAAATAAATATTACAAAATATAAAATTTTGTACAGTAAATCAAAATTCTCAAAATATGTACCTATTTTACAATGAATATACCAATATAGCAAAATTATAAATAAAACAAAAATGAGCACATTTGCAAAAATTATTAATACATTATTTGATTTTAATCTTTACGCACTCAAAGCTTGGAATTCGTTGAGATAATCTGCCTGCAATCGACAAAGCAAATCTGAGACGTTGCAATGCTCTCTTACTTTACTCTATTTTTCTTTTTGCAATAAATAAAAGACAGAATATGTCAAAAGAAGTTCCAGATTTGCTTTGCCGAACTCAAGCTCTGTATAGTATATAAAATTTTGTTAACTAACCTTTTTATCCATCCTTTCTTGAATGAAACTCTGCGGCGAGTGAGAGGCAAACATTTCTCATTATACTTCTTTCCCATCACTGTCACTTCGTCTAAAGGTAAAAACACTAACAAAAAATACTATTACAACACTTCACTACACGTATACTCTGTAGACACGTCGCAACGAGTAACACGTTTTCTCGCGTTATTATCACGAACAATGTATGTATAGTAGTACGCGATGCGCGCGATCTGCTAGGTCATGCGCGTAATAGATATTATTGGCGCATAAACGAGGAAATAATAATTACTACAGCTCTGATTTTATTCTGTTTTTCGAATATGTACATAGGATGTTTGATATAATAACGGCATA